TGTCAGTAACTCTTAAAAAATTTCTAACAAGTTCAGTTAATTTTAAGTTATATAATTAGGTTTTATAATTAAACAGTATTTCCTTGGGTTAGTTGAATGTTTCTAAAATTTTGTCATTGGTTATTTCTCTCTCCTAGAGAGTTTAGCCAATCAAAATTAAATTCTTTAGTGAATTCTGAATATGATTTTGTTAATTTCTGAGGCCTTGTAGGGAATATATGGGACATATATGTGGTCCAAATATTCTCAAATATAAATGTACCCAAAATGTAATACAGAATCTTTCTTTTATTCAGCTTGAAATAGTTTACTTAATTTAGCAATTTAATTATATACATATCCCATAAAGTGCTGTTTAAAATATATTAATGTGGCCCAGCTGGGCGTGGCTCAGTGGTTGAACATCAACCTGGGGTCCCGGAGATCGAAGTTCGATTCCCAGTCAGGGTACATGTTCCGGTTGTGGGCTCCATCCCCACTCAGGGACGTGCAGGAGGCAGCCGATCAATGACTCTCATCATTGATGTTTCTGTCTCTCTCTCCCTCTTCCTTCCTCTCTCTGAATTCAATAAAGATATATTTAAAATAAAATAAAATAAAGATAAAATATATTAATGTGGAAATACTCCTTTTCTTCCCACTCCTGTTTCAGGAAACACTTTTATTTTAAATGCTCACGTGCATATTTTAATTCTTGTTCTCTTTATGCCCCACATTTTGTTTTACAAAGTCATGTTCATCTAAGTTTACCCATGTAAGTACTTTTACCAATATTTTGTTACCAAAGTTTTCAAACGTACAGCGAAGTTGAAAGAATTTTATAGTGATATGATATTTTATACCCATTTAATCAGTACTTAGATTCAACTATTAACATTTTACTGAACTTGCTTTGTTATCTATTTTTCCTTCTCTTTGTCCTTTATTCATCCACTTAACCCATCTAATTCTTTGGATGCATTTCAAAAAACTTCCTTAACTACTTTAGCCTGCATATCATTAGCTGAAGTGCAGTGTTTTTTTCAAGTCTTTTTCCAATATGAAAATTACCACATGAAATGCAACATCTTAAATATTAATTTGCTGAGTTTTGATTTAGTAATGTTATTTTGTTTTACTTTCTTTACTGACAGAATTGCAACAACTTAAATTTTGTTTTGTTTGTTTAATCCTCACTAGAGGACATGCTTAGAGAGAAGAAGGGGGGGAGAGAGAGAGAGAGGGAGGGAGGAGAGGAGAGAGAAACATTGATGTGAGAGAGAAACATCTATCAGTTGCCTTCCCTTCATGCTCTTACTTCGGATCAAACCCACAACCCAGGTATATGTCCTGACGCAGAATTGAACTGTCAACCGTGTGGTGCACAGGATGATGCTAAACTAACTGAGCCACTCCTGCTAAGTTTAACTCTCCCATTTTTCCCTCCCCTCACCCTTCCCTCTTCCCTTTCCTCTTCCCCTCCTTCTTCCTTCTCTGTAAACATGTCCTCAAGTGAAGATTTTTTAAAAAAAAGAAAATTTAGCAAGTGAATTAAACCAGTAATTGCTATAATAAAAATGCTTGTCACAAACTATGATGGATCAGAGTGGAGAAACCTCAGACTTACGAAAACAAAAGTTTACCAGCCTGTGTAATAAAATTTTTTAGTTAGATGTGGTTTGTTAGGTACCTTTCTAGTAAAAAGCATTTGATGCCCAAAGTGATACAAAATTGAGTTAGGCAAGTCGAATATATATTATGTATGTGTGCTTACTATGTGCCAAGTGGTACTCCAGATCATGGGAATAGAGCAGTCAATAAGATCAACAGGGTTTCTGTGCATAAGGCTTGTATTTATAGTGCATGTTGACTGTGTTAGAAAGTAATGGCTTTGATTATTTACATGTACCATCATACTTAGTTACTTTACTGGTAGGTTAGTGTGTTTTAGTTGTTTTTGACTTTTTATAAGGGCAAAAATTAAGTTTATAAAAGTAGACAAAATAATGTAATGAACCTCCCCATGGACAAATCATCCAAATGGCAATTACCAAAACTCATAGTTAATCTTGTTTTGTCTGTGCTTTCACTGCTTTCCTCCCTCTCAGATTATTTTGAAGTAAACCCAAGATACCATATTTCAAATGCAAATAAATATTTTAGTGTGTATCTCTAAAAGATAGGAATGCTTAAGGGGGGTGCTTATGTATTAAAATTTTTATTTTAAGTAATATGTTTTTGTGTTAAAATTTGTACAAAATATATTTTAATGACATTGGAGAATAATTAATTTTAAAGAAATAGTAACCCTCATAATCTGTATCTAACCTAATAATTTCATTGAATTCATTTTTAGTTAATTGGAAATGATCCTGTTATCCTTAAAATCCTTTTAAGTTTTACTTTATAAGTCCTGGTTTTTATTTCTGGTTTGTATGTAATGGGGCCATTGTTTTCTAAGATATTTCTAAAATGGAGGAGGTTCCAAACATATGAGTCCTGAAGCCTTGTGTAATTTGGTTAGCATTTAGAGAGAAAAATTACATGTTTATAGCTCAATGTGAGATTTATACAAGAATTTCAAACAGTAATGGTATTTTCATTCAGGTCTGGCATTGGAGGTAATGGAAAATACTGTTTGAACTTTTTTTTTTTTTTTAATTTTAGAGAGAGAGGAAGGGAGAGGGATAGAGAGAGATAGTAACATTGATGAGAGAGAAACATCATCCATCAGCTGCCTCTTGGAGGCCCCCCACTGGGGATCCAGCCGGAAACTCAGGCATGTGCCCTGACTGGAAATCGAATCAGTGACCTCTTGGTTCCTGGGTTGACACTCAACTGCTGAGCCACACCAGTGGGGTGGAACTTTCTTAATAGTATAAGCTTTTGAAAGAGAAACTCTGAAATGTTTGCCACCCATCATGGATTTTATTGGAAAGAAAAATAAATCCATGAATGTTATATCTGGATAAGACATGAACTATCTCTGAAAATAGCCTTGCTTTATCACAGACTCCTACAGTCATCTTCATTTCCTTAAATCTTTTCATATAGCTCAGAAGTTTTCTTTCAGATTAGATGCCTACAGAGCAGAGATGGTATAATATATTTGAACACTTTCTCAAAACATAAAGGAAACAGCAATTTGATCTTTATTACTAGATACAAGAGCTGTCCTTGGAAATTTTTATTTATTTATTATTTGGTACAGTTAGTTAAATATATAACTAAATGTGATTCTATTTTTACTTCTTTGAAAGTTTTACCGTACACATTTTTAAATCCTGAAATAATTTTCTAGTAACTGAGGGAGTTGAGCAAAGAAGCAGGTTGCTTAGTAAGAAGCTCTCTCTCCATTCGTAGAAGTGTTCAGGCATACTCACCCCACCACCCCTCCAAATAAGCATGTACAAACAAACAAAGTTATTGTGGAATGGAATTTTATGGTTTGTTAGAATTCGAGAAATCAGTAATTCTACTTATATAACAAATTTTGAATTACAATTTTTAAGTAGCAGATTTTGAATTAGAAAACGTTATAAATTGTAATGTTGCTAATTTTGGCTTAATGACATTTTTTGGAAGCTTAGCATTTGCATAGATTTAATTGAAATCCCTGTGAAAAGGTAGTGTTTAGAAGAAAGAGTCAATAAATTCTGTGTACTATATTTTACACAAACATAAAATATTTCTTACAATTTAATATCTAACATTCTAAAGAAGGAAACCACCTATTATGCCCTTGGAAAAAAATTAGGTAGATATTTTAGCTGTCAAGTAGATATGAACTATTGATTTTATTTTTTCCTAGCACATTGGCAAATTGCCCACCCACTGGGAAGTTTGAATAGGATGTAATAATTTATTAACTGAATAGTTGTAGTTATCAATGCTAAGTAATTTAAGAAATAGACACTGAAGAATTTAGTGTTTCACTTAGACTCATGTAAGTAGTAATCAAAATAGAAAACATTCTTTGAGCACTTAGTTTATGAAAAGTGCTTTATAATCTGTTTTTTATTTAGCCCTCACAACAACCTTATGAGGTAGGTATTAGTATTAAGCTCATTTCACAAATAATGAAACTGAAGTTTAGGATGGTAAAGTATCCAGCTTTGAATGTTGGGCTTTATGTTTTGGTTTTTCATTTTGTCAAATTAGTTCTCATTAGTTGATCATGTCTTATATATTGTGATAGATTAACAGCTTCTTTCACCTCTGTCTCACCTGATATTGATAGAAAGTTACATGTGTGCTCAAGAGCAGATTACTTACAGATTAGTGCTCTGTATCTCTCGTTCTTACTGTTGATAATAATTTTTGTTCTGTTACTTCACAGCAGCTACTAATCTAGGACAAATGTTGTTCTCCCTCTGTCCAATTTCCTAACCCCCACAAATAATCCATTATGTTGCTAAAACTTTAAAACATTAACAACATATTACTTTGAGAATTTATTCAAATTTTATATTGGGTTTTACTTCCAAACTTGTGAAGTCAAAGACTCTTCTTTATCCAGTACTGTGGAGAGATAGCAAAATGCTTCCTCTTGATCTTCCTACCTTAGTATTACCTCCCTATTTGCTGTTGCTTATGTGTAAAAATCCTGATTTTCTTCTGGGCAGTAACTTCAAGAGTAGACCAAAGATGTGTGCTATCTTAAATGGTTTATTTCTAAAATTCCTAGGCAATTAGGGATTAGAATTATTGTAACACTCTTTCTGTAGTTTATTTTTTATTAAAACGATAATACTGTATTTTTCTTTTACTTATGTTTGGTTTTTGCATTGCTGCATGTTATTTTATTAAGCACCTGGCTTTCTTCATTGAGCAATTTTATTTCCTTTACTCCATATGAAGACCTTTGTATTAGTTATATTCATGTTGTTTCATTAATGCATTTTTGTTTATACATTTACTTTATTTGATTAAGGATAAGAACTCCTGTGCTTTTTTAAAACCTTTCCAAAACCAAATAGAGAAATTAGTGATTTTTATATATTTCTTTTTGTCTGTTTTAGGATGGCTACCATAGAGTAGTTAATATTGTGACAAAGAAACCACCACTGCTAGACAGACCGGTTGAAGGAAGCTACAATAGATATTACAATCATGTTGGTTACCGAGACTATGACGAGGGCCGCAGTTTTTCTCATGATCGAAGAAGTGGTCCACCTCACAGAGGAGTATGTAAATTTCCCCCATGTACTAATTGTTTTTTGTTTTTTTAAAATAAGTTTAAAGATCATGTAATTTTAAAACTATGTGACTGGCCTAAAGGCAGCTGAATAAACACTTCCTGCTTGATGCTCTGTTGAACTGCTTGCTGGAGCTGTCAAATGGGAACTGATAGTCAAGAATCTTGGGGTGCTGGACAAAGTGGGTAAGCACTCTGGACAGCTCTATCTAAGTGACATTAATTTCAACTAGCCTGCTTTTATATCCCCCAAATTAGCAGGGATTTGCAGAAGCAGTTAAAGGTAATCTGTTTTGTTGGTACTTAATAAGTGATGAGCAAGTGGTTACCATCTCTTATTAGATGTGCCCACATATAATTACTTTGATTATTTTTAGCATGATGAAATGCTGTGGGTGAGGTTGGGTTAAGGTCATTGAGACTCTTGTTTCGTTTTTGCTATAGCTATTATTGATGTCTACTTACTAACTCAGATTAGAAAGCACTCAAAACATCGCCTTTCCCATACTCAGCACTTTTAAAATGTTAGCGCAATCATTACTGTTACTACTGCTATTATATTGTTTTTTGTGATCATCTTTAATAACCGAAAACTATATATTTAATATTGCAGTAATCTTTCATTGAACTTGAGTGAAAATATTCCTTGATGCAATTCCTTTGACATAGTGTGCATGTTTCTTCTGCTAGACCATTTTCCTACATTTTCTCTTTTCCCCCCTTCCCTACTATATAATATTGTAGTTGACAGTACATATGCAAGCATTGCTTATGATAAAATTTGACCTCACATTGGCCGTTGGAATTAGTTTCCATATTTTACACTTGAAGAAATGGAGGTAAGGTGATTTATCTAGGGTGGGTATATGTATGGTAGTCCATTTCTCTCATTGCCATGTCATGTTACCCTGACAATTCTGTAGTGGTAATGAGACTATTCTATGCTTTCTTATATTTGCTTTTAAAGTTTGGGGTGTTAGGGCTTCCTTCTCATAGAATTAATTTTTATTTTGTTTAATTTTTATTTAATTTTTTAATTTTTATTTTTTTAATCCTCACTCAAGGATATTTTTCCCATTGCTTTTCAGAAAGAGTGGAAGGGGGAGAGAGAGAGAGAGAAAGAGAGAGAGAAACATTGATGTGAGAGAGACATATCGATTGGTTGCCTCGGGCACTCACCCCAACTGGGGCTGGGGATGAAGCCTGCAATTGAGGTGCATGCCCTTTGCCAGAATCACACCTGGGACCCTTCAGTCCTCAGGCTGACGCTCTAACCACTGAGCCAAACCAGCTAGGGCTATTTTGTTTAATTTTAAATGTTATGCTGTTCCTTCAGGAAGAAGGATTCAGTTTTGAAAAGTAAATATTATGCATTATTCCTATTCTAGAAATAATTGGATTTTACCATCAGAGCCCTTCTTCCAGGTAATCTTAGGAAGAAACAATTTGGTCTTTGCATAAAGTTATTATCCCTCTTGTAAAAGCCTTGTGGCCGTTTGCTACTGTAGAGAAGGAATTTTGGATTCAATGGACCAATTTGTATTGGAATCCTCATGAACATGATTTTTTTTTTTTTTTAAACCTTGTAGCGTAATAATGCCTCAACATTAATTTTTTCTATTATTGTTATAAATAGTGTTTATACTGTATGCAACATTTCCTCTTTAAATTCTCTTCAAACAAAAAAACCCACTTGAGATCCTTAGGACTTTTATGACACTGATTCTTATCTAGACTTCCGTTACATAAAGCAAAGTACTTGATCCAATATTTAATTATAGCTGTTGAGGTTTTTCTTTTTTTTTGTTTATATTTAATGCTATGAGGAAAATGACGATTCCTTTTTATTTATGTAAGAGTCTGTGATGCTAAAGGACTTAAAAATAGTATTTATTTTAGTTGAATCATTGTTTCTGATTGTAATTAATTCACATGTTGTATTCTCTGTATAATTTTAAAGTAATTGGGTGTGGATTATTATGTGTTTCTTTTTTAAAAAAATAGGTTTTTATTGATTTCAGAGAGAGAAAGGAAGAGGGAGAGAGAAATAGAAACATCAGTGATCGGCTGCCTCCTGCACACCCCCTGCTGGGGATCGAGCCCGCAAACCGAGCATGTACCCTGACTGGGAATCGAACCTCGATCTCCTGGATCCTAGGTGGACGCTCAACCACTGAGCCATGCCCAGCAGGGCTGTTTCTTTTTTATGCATCTTTTCAAGTCTGTCTGTCTTAGAGGACAAAATGTGCCTGCTTTCTTTGATTAATTTCAAACTTAGTGACATATTTTGTTCTAATATAGCTTATCAATAAGGATGGTTTCTTATATTGTTTCCAAATTTAATGGGAAGTAAGATGAGGAATGAAAACTTGAATGAGAAAAGTGGGAAAGTAGCAAATTTTTTATTGGGCCTGAAAATTGATGAGAGAACTTGGCATAAGAAAAGAATAAAACAGGAGGTCAAGAAAAATCTGCTTAATTGAATTTAAATTGAACCTTTGTTCTTGAATAGCCCTTAACTGTTGTTATGTTGATATATGTGTCCTTGGCAATAAGGCTGTTAGGGCCTACCAGAGAAATATTTAAGTATTTCCTTAGAGATAAGTGGTACCACAGACTCTCTGTTTACTAATTTAGTTGTTGAAATGGATGATTTGTATATTTTTTATTTTATGCTTTTTAGGCTCAGAGAAATTTAGAAAGGTGTTTTTGTCCTCATATTATTTTGGTCTTAAAGACTAGGTTTTAGTACTACTGTTAGATATATTCTACTTGACCAAAATAACACAAACAAATATCTAAGTAACTTTTTATTTTACAGGATGAACCTAGCTATAAGTGGACAAGAGATGATCATTCTGGAAGTCGTCAGCCTGAATACAGGTAAAAAGATGAAAATAATAACATAACTACTTTGATACTTGACTCACTGAGATATCTGGCCTTAAGGGGGCTTCCAGTCAAGATGGTGGTGTAGGTAAATGTGGTACTCACATCCTCCCACAAGTACATCAGAATTACAACTAAACTACTTATCATTCAGAACCACCTGAATTCTAGCTGAAGTTCTGTAACTAAGGATATAAAGAAGAAGTCATATTGAGACTGGTAGAAGGGACAGAGACTCGGAATGAGCTGTTTCCACACCCACATGTGGCACTTAAAAATCAAGAAGGATATCTGAGCTGTGGAGGTTCCCCCTAAGGAGCAAGGGGTCCCTGCCTCACACCAGTGCCCCCAGCCCCGGGTTCCAGTGCCTAGAAAGTAAGCCTCCAAAACTTGGGATTGTTGATGAATGACACACAGGGCTGCTAGAGTCCCAGGCATTCCTCTTAAAGGTCCTGCGCATGGACTCTCTCACTCTGAGCTCTAGTACTAGGGCATCAGGGACATATGAGGAGGAATTGAATTTTGTGGCTTCGGGATGAGGGCTGGAGGGGCAGGCAGCTTTCTCCCAGACAGAAGTGCTGGCAGAGGCCATTGTTACTTTGCTGATCCCTCTCCCTACAGGCTGGCAGGTGGGTGCCATATCTGAGTATCAACCTGGCTATCACTGTTGACCCCACTCTGGTGATCCCCTGATACCCTGCCCCACCCAAATTTTGGGCCTACCCAAGCACTTCCGAGTGGCTTTTCCATACAGTTGGCCTGCCAATGGCTCATGTTACAGACTTTCCTAAAAATCTTTTAAAGGTTCACAACCCCCAGACAAGCAGCATCTGGCTTTGGTGTGCCCCATATCTCTTACTAAGTGACCTCAGGCTTGGTGCTAGCAGCAGCTGGCCTGGTTCTCAGCACAAGCAGCAGCCAGTTACAGGTTGCTCGGTAGCTCATAGCCGGTTGCCCCGGGCAGGGCATAGGCAGTGGCTGATTTTGACCTGCACTTCCCAGGAGGCCCCAGAGCCACAGCACCCTGTGGACAGCTTCAGACCACACCAGAGCACCACTCAACCACCTCCATGAGTGACATACTCAAGGAGTAAAGCCCCCCCATTGATGTGCCAACAGCAGCAAGGTTCAGCTACAATAAGAAGATGTTCACAGCCCAAATGGGGGTGGAAGGGGGTTGTACCTGGAGTGCCCAGCTCGGGTTACTTGGGAGGCTGTGCCACTGGGCCCTACAGGATACCTTACTACCCGCTCTACCAAGACTGGGAGATGTAGCAGCTCTATGTAATACATAGAAACAAATACAAGGAGGCAGCCAAAATGAGGAGACAAGGAAACATTTCCTAAATAAAAGAACAGAACAAAACTCCAGAAAAAGTACTAAAGAAAATGGAGACAAGCAATCAGATTCTGAGTTCAAAACACTGTTTATAAGGTTTCACAATGAACTTAGAGGTAAAAATAGAGGAACTCTTAGAACTTCAACAAAGAGAGAGGAAACAAAAATGGAGACAGAAAACATAAAAAGAAACCAATTAGAAATGAAGAATACAATAACTGAAATGAACACATTATAGAGAATCAACAGTAGAGTAGATGAAGCAGAAGATCAAGTGAGAGATTTGGAAGATAAGGAAGCAGGAAACACCCAATGAGAACAGCAAAAAGAAAAAAGAATCCAAAAAAATGAGGACAGTATAAGGAACCTCTGGGACAACTCCAAGCATACCAGCATTCAAATCATGGGGGTGCTGGAGGAAAAGAGAGCGAACTAGGAATTGAAAACTTATTTGAAAGAATAATGACGAAAAATTTCCTTAACCTGGTCAAGGAAATAGACATACACGTCCAGGAAGCCCCCAGAGTCTCAAATAAGAGGAACCCAAAGAGGGCCACACTAAGACACATCATAATTAAAATGCCAAAGATTAAAGACAAAGGGAATCTTAAAAGCAGCAAGAGAAAAGTAGTAACCTACATGGGAACTCCCATAAAACTGTGAGCTGATTTCTCAACATAAACTTTGCAGGACAGGAGGGATGGGTACGAAATATTCAAAATGATGAAAAGCAAGGACCTATAGCCATGATTACTCTGCCCAGCAAAGCTCTCACTTAGAATCTAAGGGCAGATAAAGGGCTTCCCAGACAAGAAAAAACTAGGAGTTCATCACCATTGGTATTACAGGAAATGGTGAACAGTCTTTTAAGAAGAAGAAGAAAATACAAATGCCCTGGCCAGGTGGCTCAGTTAGTTGGAGCATCATCCCATACACCAAAAGGTTGTGGGTTCGATTCCCAGTTGTGGCACGTACCTAGGCTATGGGTTTGATCCCCAGTCGGGGCGTGTACAAGAGACAACCAGCCGATGTTTTTCTCTCACATCCATGCTTCCCTCTCTAAAAATCAATAAAACATATCCTCGAGTGAGGATAAAATAACATAGATGAATAATAAAATGGTAGTAAATACATATCTTTCAACAATTAGTTTAAATACAAATAGATTAAATGCTCCAATCAAAAGACATACAGTGACTGAATGATTAAAAAAGAAGACCCTTACATATGCTTCAGATGGAGAGAGACACACAGACTGAAAGTTAAGGGATGGAAAAAGGTATTTCATGAAAATGGAAACAAAAAAACTGTGGTAGCACCCAGCTGGTGTTGCTCAGCGGTTAGAGCATCTCTCCCTTGCACTGAAGGGTCATGGGTTAGATTTCCAGTCAGGGCACATACCCAGGTAACAGGTTCATCCCCAGTTGGGGTGTGTGCATGAAGTAACCAGTTGTTTCTCCACATATCCTAGACGCATAGGTAGACTACATTTGTCAGCCTTCCTTCCATCTCGGTGTGGCCATATGACTAGTTATCTCAGTATAATGTAAGTAGGAGTTCTACTTCTACATGTGTTCTTCCACACACATTTTACCTTTGCCCATGTTGCAGGGTGGGCCCTGGAATGACAGCAGATGTGTGGCCTCAGAAGCCACATTTTGAAATAGAGTGATCAGCCTGGGTTCCTGGATGATTGCATGGAGCAGAGTCTCTCACCCTGGCATGCCTGCCCTAGTCTGTTTCATGCTAGTTACTTTTGTGTAATGACTCAACATTGCATTTTTGGGTATTTTTGTTGTAGCAATTAAGGCATTTCTTATTTTTGTAACAATAGGCAATGTTTTATGTGTTAGACCAAACTGTGAATAACACAGGTAAGATCTCTGTTCTGGTTGGGAGATTTCTTAGTCCATATCTCATGTCTAGAATACTTTTAAGTGTAAAGATGTGGTTTTGTGGAAAGAGCTCTGGATTTGGTCATCAGACTTCTAATCACAACTCTGCTGCAAGACATTTATTTTGGGGGGAGGTAGTATGGAATAAAAGGTAATGTGGGAACTCCCTTAGCTTAAGTCACAGTACCCTAGTTCTAAAGTTTACGCATTTTAGAAAAGACATTTGAGGTCTAAACTTACTAAGTTTTCTCTACTAGCTACCAAGCTGCTTTCTCAAAATGATTCCTGAAATCTTAATTCCTTTTTGAAGTTCATGTTGACTAGAAATGAAGTAGTCATTATTTTGTGTGGAACATTTGTTCGTGTTGGATGTGGGAAGGATAAAAGAAGGGTCCTGGATAAGAAGTAAAATGCTGTCTCTCTCCCCTTTCTTCCCTCCCCTTGCATCCCTGCCTCCTACTTTATTGAATTTTACTCTTAACCAGTAAGCATCCATCTGCTTAAACTGAGGGGTCCATCACAACTTGTCTGGTTCGACTGATGTGATGGCCTGGAATTACCTTGGGAGGGTGCATTTTAATGGGAGAATCCTAAGCTTCATAAATCTGCTTTTGCAACCAGCATCCAAGGTAATTACAGCGCAGACAGTTTGAGGACTACATTGTGAGGAACAGTGCATTATAGGGCATCAGTTCTTCCCATCTTCCATTCTCCAGGTAACTTTGCCTCCTGTATGTGCCCAGCATTATGGCTGAAATGTTTGTGATACAGCCGAAGATGCTGTGCTCTTACGTACTTTTTTGAAAATAAAAAGCATTAGTTCAGTTAAGTATGGTTGGTGTTTTTTTTAATCTTTATAGTAAGTATTCCAGTTGTACTGTTGTTTATATTTCTTCAAAGGCTCGTTTTGATTTGCCTGATAATTCGTTGTATTCAACCCATTATATCATGCATGTTAATATCCTCATTTTCAACATAGCTAGAAACATTATAGTTTGAAGACTTTTGATGTAAGTTTTCTTGTGTAAATGGAACTTTGCTTTACTTGCAGGGCAAAGTTTCTACCCTGTGATTTTTGAAATAGTATTAAAAATGTGCCCCAGTTTCTAGTATCCTGTTGCTGTTTAGCATGTTTCAGGGTCATTGTCAAAATCAACAAAATCCTTTTTTTAAAATTTCTTTAAAATCAGAATGATACTTGCACAGAGAAAGTTATACTAATTGATGTTGATTGAATTTTATAGATTATCATGAGTGTTGTGACTAACACTTTTTTTTTTTTTAATCCTTACTTGAGGATGTTTTTCATTGATTCTAGAGAGAGGAAGGGAGAGGGGGAGAGAGAGAGAGAGAGAGAAAGATTGATGTGAGAGAGAAATATTGATCAGTTGCTTGCCATATGTGTCCTGACTGGGGATTGAACCTGCAACCTGTGTATGTGCCTTGACTGGAATCAAACCCACGACCCTTCAGTGCACAGGACAACACTCTAACCAACTGAGCCACACTGGCCAGGGTGGGACTAACACATTTGAAAAAGAAAAATAGTATGCATAAAGTTGTGATATTTCTATCAGTTAATTGATATTTCCCTTTTAATTTTGGGGGGCAAATTAATAATCTACAGAAGTTTTATGTTTTGCATTTTACATACTCAGTGATAGTTGTAGATGTGGCTTTGTTTTAATTTATACAGTTCTTCAGGAAACAGTTTTATATTTAAAAATGTCTAGCTTAAATTTATCTTACTTGTGTGATTT